AGATAACTATGTATTTGAGTCCCACACTTAATTGTGGTCAGAGGTTTAAGGGCTTATTTGAGGTGTTGGCTATTTTTCTACATCTCCTCGTTTCCTTGACAAAACCACATCGTTCATTTATTTATTTATTTATTTATTTTCCTAGTTATATTTAAGGTTAAAATCCTAAAATATCTTTTATTCCATTTTTATTAGGCAACTTGAAGAGGACTCTTCCTGAAGAGACAGAAAAGCCACAGGTAGAAGTGTTGCCTGACTCTAAAACTCAAAATCCAAGCAGTCATGGAAGTGAAATAATGACTCTCGCCAGATTAAGGGAGTCATTCTCTCTCCCTCAAATGACAGACAGTAATCTTCAAAGCCCTAAAAGGGTAAAGCGGCAGCACAGCTACCCCAGACAACTGCCATCATTTTATACCACTTTGAGTCCTGTAAACTCTCGAAAGGCTGCCCTGAGCAAGGAGTCTGAGTCTGAGTCAAAGATGCCAGCTACAAGCAGATATTTGAGAAAATTAGAAGATAATACAGATTCTGGATTCTCTAGCACCTCTGCTGAATCAGATGTTGGTTATAATATGCAGGAAGATGAGAGCTGCAGTGAAAGAGCAACTAATTCTTCTTCAGAAGAAATCAGCAACTCAAAAGAGGAGCTTCAAAATGAATGTCTCGAAATTGTTGGACTAAGTGAGAAATCACTGGAATGTGATGTGCAGTTCTTGGGCACTGTGCACAAGTTAAACCAAGTGGAAGACTGGAATAATCCAAAAAACTTGTCTCAAGTAGCCAGTAGTTCTTCCCCGAGAAAAAAGTATTTTAAAAGTAAAGCAGATGATTTAAAGGCAGATCTGTCTTCTAAAGAGAAGAATACTAAGCACCATCTGGCAAATGTTGATGTACTGGTAGAAATTAAAAAGAAAACTGTACCACTTGAATTCTCTATGAAGGTTTTAGCAGAAAAGGTAAAAAAGGTAATACAGCAGCAAAAGAAAAGGACAGAAACACAGAATTATAGAAGATTTAAAGCAAAAATTAGTCCTGGAGAAAATAAAGTAGCAGAAGATGAGTTAAGAAAAGAGATTAGGTACTTACCTTCACTTTCTTAATTTATTAGATTAACCAAACAATTACTAAAAATAGTTGAGGAAAAATAAGAACTGTCTTGAGTTGTTGTCAGGAAAGGCTTATGTCCACTTGTTGATTTTTTTGAGCACATCTTTTATCTAATATATACTATTAAAACATCGTTCATCAAACAGAAATGGTATAATCAGAAAACAGCCGTCACCAGATTCCAGATAATTCTTGTGTTCATATATTGCTAAAAGGAGTGCTTTCTCTTTTATACAAAG